TTCGAGAAAACAATCGCTGCTAGAGAAAACGGCCTCTCGGCCTAGTGTGAGTGAGTGAGTTTAGTTTTACGACGCTTTTAGCATTATTCCAACAATATCACGGCGGGGGACACCAGAAATGGGCTTCACCCATTGTACCTATACCCATGTGGGGAATCGAAGCCGGGTTTTTGGCGTGACGGGCGAACGCTTTAACCTCTAGGCTACCTGGAGAGAACGGCCAATATATATAACAGAAAACTACATCTATTTAATTTGCTTTTATTCACCTCTAAATCAATAATACAAGTACAATATCTGTACAAGTTGTATTCATGTATTATGTTCTACATCTCACATCTCAATAGAATGATTCTTTACGCAGAATGCTCGTCAAACCACTCTTCATTTGTTTGTCTCTGAACAATGTAATATATATTATAATACTATATTTGTTTTTACATAGTTTCTTGTTCTTAATAATAAATATGGTGATGCGTGTACTAAATAGACACCTAGAATAAATAAGAACCCTATCTATCAAATAACAGTATATCACTTCTTCCTTAAAGTGATATAAAAGGGCGCCAACAAATAGATTGTCCTTGTTTCATTTGTCAGACATCCCAATAGTCAGACAGGTTAAAACCACAAACCATCTGGTTGAGTGCACAACTAATCCCCTGCCTGCCAGGAATGGCCCATAAAATAAATAACAGAACAGAACAGAACGTGATTACACTCAGGCCGATATTATCGACATATGAGGTACAAATGACGATAAATAATAATATTATGGCGGAATAGTTAGCCGGAAGATTTTACAATTTCCATGATATATTTACAGAATTTACTGAGATTTTTCATAACAGATATCCTTTTACATGTAAAGGGTATCGAAACTAAAAAAACCAATCAATCAATGTTTAAAAGCTTATCCGCAATGAAGTATATCTCTATTATTTATGATACATATATGACATATAACTCCTTTGATCTTGGTGCAACTATGTTGGCCGTTTTTCTCTCGGCACAGAAGCCGTTTTCTCCAGCGCGGCGGCCGTTTTCTCGATTTTTTTGTGGTCCGTTTTCGCTTGGGTCCGTTTTCTCCGTATCCCGTTACAGCAGATGTCAGTTGGTGGGAGTGTAGCGTCATCGCCATGTCATGGTAATGTCATTGTTTGAGTAAGGGCGACAACGCAACCTCATTCCAGTATAATCTCAGAGTTTTATGGATGTTTTTTTTTTTATATTCTATGATAACCTCATGGTCTGTAATAGTCACGGACTTATGCCACAGTCATGGATAATCACAATATACAATAGTCTCACATAAACAATAGATCGACAGTCTCCTAGTCTGAAATATCTTCAGTGTTTGAAATGGCCTCATGGTCATGAACTGTGCAACAGTCATGGATTATCACTCAGTCCTGAATAGTCTCAGAGTCGTCAATAGCTTCACACTCTTGGTTTGAGTCATAATCGATGATATTCACATAGTCCTTGGTAATTTCATCGTCTAATCTGGTATGCTCGTCTCATACTATTGGATAGTCTCAAATAATTTTAGATTTGTGTCACAGTCAGTTAAGGGCGATCTCATAGTCACGCATAGACTTCATGGTCACATTATCTTGGATATTGTCATTCTGGTATAGACTCAGTCGTGAATAGTCTCATTTCTTTGGACTCTGTATTTTGGTCTCTGAGTTTCAAATTCTTGAACAATCTCACAGTCGTGGGCAATCTCATAGTCTTGGTTATGGTCATATTCTTGGAGATCCTCCTAGTTTTTAATAATCTCATAAATTTTGACTGTATCCGTGGTCTTGTGGACAGAGCGCCTGTCTTGACATCGGAAAGATTGTGGTTCGATACTTGGTGGCGCCATACCAAAATACGCTATGTGTGTTTGTTTGCTGTTTAAAGCACATACAGCAATATTCCACCAATATAGCAGAGGTCGGTAAAGTACGTCCGTGTTGTTGTGGCCGTGTCTAGCGCGCGGCATAAGGGAGTTATGATATAGATATAGATATTGTTGGCGTAGAGTCGGTATACTAAGTCGGTGTGGAGTATCCATGGTAACACCTCACTGTAGCATGGTGTCCCACTGGGACAGAACAATGAGACATGTCAAAATATAGACTCTCTCTCTCTCACACACACACACACACACACACACACACACACACGAACACACACACACACACACACACACCAACTCACTCGCTCACTGATATTGTGGGTAGTGTCTTAAATTTGTCTTGTCTTGGTTTGTCCCATAATCTTGTATAGTCTCCGGGTTGTGGATAATCTCAAAGACCCAATAACCTCACGGTATTGGATACCTATTCTCTCCATGCCTTGTCTTCTAAATAACCAACATTTGGAATGCCATTTACTACATACATACATACATACATACATACATACATACATACATACATACATACATACATACATACATACATACATACATACATACATACATACATACATACATACATACATACATACATACATACATACATACATACATACATACATACATACATACATTCACACAGACAGACATACAGACATACAGACTACTCCAGTGTCATAAGGACCACTAACAAGGTGTACGTGCTGGTCGATGTTCCTTGACCTCTATATACAAAGCGTACTGGATCATGGGAAGGAATATTGGAAGATCTGAGCTTCACGTGTCTGCTATTGTGAGCTCATCGTCAATTTGATGTGTTCGATTACCAATAGAACATAACGTTACAGTGGAGGATAAATATGATAGCCTGTGAAGTGTCTTTAACACGGTCGGTAGATGTACGGTGTTAGATCTGTCTTATATATAATACTGTGTTAATGTCGGTCGGATTTCAGTGAATGTCCGTCCTATCGCTGTGTATGTTCGTCGTTTGTCCGTTAATGTGGGTCGAATTTCAGTGAATGTCCATCCGATTGCTATGTATGTTCGTCGTATGTCCGTTAATGTCGGTCGAATTTCATTGAATGTCCGTCGTATCGCTGTGTATGTTCGTCGTATATCCGTTAATGTCGGTCGCATTTCAGTGAATGTCCATCCTATCGCTGTGTATGATCGTCGTATGTCCGTTAATGTCGGTCGCACTTCAGGGAATGTCCATCCTTTCGCTGTGCATGTTCGTCGTATGTCCGTTAATGTCGGTCGAATTTCAGTGAATGTCCGTCGTATCGTTGTGTATGATCGTCGTATGTCCGTTAATGTCGGTCGAATTTCAGTGAATGTCCATCCTATCGCTGTGTATGATCGTCGTTTGTCCGTTGATGTCGGTCGAATTTCAGTGAATGTCCGTCATATCGTTGTGTATGATCGTCGTCTGTCCGTTAATGTCGGTCGAATTTCACTGAATGTCCATCCTATCGCTGTGTATGTTCAGCGTATGTCCGTTAATGTCGGTCGCATTTCACTGAATGTCCATCCTATCGCTGTGCATGTTCGTCGTATGTCCGTCGAATTTCAGTGAATGTCCATCCTATCGTTGTGTATGATCGTCGTATGTCCGTTAATGTCGGTCGAATTTCACTGAATGTCCGTCGTATCGTTGTGTATGATCGTCGTATGTCCGTTAATGTCGGTCGAATTTCAGTGAATGTCCATCCTATCGCTGTGTATGATCGTCGTTTGTCCGTTAATGTCGGTCGAATTTCAGTGAATGTCCGTCGTATCGTTGTGTATGATCGTCGTATGTCCGTTAATGTCGGTCGAATTTCACTGAATGTCCATCCTATCGCTGTGTATGTTCGTCGTATGTCCGTTAATGTCGGTCGCATTTCAGTGAATGTCCATCCTATCGCTGTGCATGATCGTCGTATGTCCGTTAATGTCGGTCGAATTTCAGTGAATGTCCATCCTATCGTTGTGTATGATCGTCGTATGTCCGTTACTGTCGGTCGAATTTCAGCGAATGTCCATCCTATCGTTGTGTATGATCGTCGTATGTCCATTAATGTCGGTCGAATTTCACTGAATGTCCATCCTATCGCTGTGTATGATCGTCGTATGTCCGTTAATGTCAGTCGAATTTCAGTGAATGTCCATCCTATCGCTGTGTATGATCGTCGTTTGTCCGTTAATGTGGGTCGAATTTCACTGAATGTCCGTCCTATCGCTGTGTATGATCGTCGTATGTCCGTTAATGTCGGTCGAATTTCACTTAATGTCCATCGTATCGCTGTGTATGATCGTCGTATGTCCGTTAATGTCGGTCGCATTTCAGTGAATGTCCATCCTTTTGCTGTGCATGTTCGTCGTATGTCCGTTAATGTCGGTCGCATTTCAGCGAATGTCCATCCTATCGTTGTGTATGATCGTCGTATGTCCGCTAATGTCGGTCGCATATCAGTGAATGTCCGTCGTATTGTTGTGTATGATCGTCGTATGTCCGTTAATGTGGGTCGAATTTCAGTGATTGTCGATCCTATCGCTGTGTATGTTCGTCGTATCTGTGTGCATACCCATCGTAGCTCCGTGTATCTCGGTCCATGTCAGTCTACTTCTGTCGTATCTTTCTGTATATCCGCGTTGTGTATGCGTACGTCCGTCGTAGCTCCGTGTATGTCGGTCGCATCTTTGTCGTATCTCAGTGTATATCCGTATATGTGCGCCGTACCTATGTGTTTGTCCATCATATCTCGTAATAATGAGCAAGGCATGGCCATAAGTGAAAATGTTCCGGATCTTTCTGGATCGTATTTATACGCACCTCCCTGTAATTTTTGTACCTCATCTGTCTATATCCGTATTTAGCACATTTTGTCCACATCATCTGGGATCGGTTGGGTAGCCTCGTGGTTAAAGCGTTCGCTCGTCACGCTGAAGACCCGGGTTCGATTCCCCACACGGTATTTCTGGTGTATCCCGCCGTGATATTGCTGGAATATTGCAGAAAGCGGCGTAAAACCAAACTCACTTAGTCACACCACTTCCTCTGCCTCATCATTTCCGTATACGTAAATAAACAATATGGTACTGACACTGTTCTTTTACATCAGTTTTATTGCCCTGTGACGTGTACATTACCATTTCTTTAGTATTGAAGCTGACAATTCAGTCAGCGACTGTCATAATGATCATAAGGCCACAACAAATTGAGTATTTGTTCTTCGTGTACCCTTTCCTATGGCAAATTGTTTAAGAGGATAAATATGCTGAGTGTGTCTTGTGACAACAGTTAAGCCTCTATTGAGGGTACATCCCTGATACGATAATGGACGGTATTACTGAAATGGAAAATAAAATGAATCTTCACGGCTTACCCAAACAATAACCTTGTTCGTTGAAGATCATGGATAAAGTAAAAATGAAGTTATGAGAGAAGAAGTATATTCGGTTCCTTAGTTTAGGCCTGATTTACAGCATTTACTTTCCTGTGGCAGACATCTCAGAACCAGTCGTCCCCATCTTTATCCTAACCATGACCAACCCCAACCCCCTCCCCACCACCCCTCTTCCCCTTCCTTCACTACCCTCCAAATATTTAATTAATTAACAAACATAAAATGGAAATGGGTAATAGAAGCGGAGAACAAATACTCAATTTGTTGAGACATTACTTGTTTTCTAAACCCTACGTGACATATGCTGGTTGACGACAGTAAATATGCTTCTCAACCTTTGACAGGAACATCAAACTGATTTAGTATAGTACGAACGGTAAATGGTATGAAACATTCCCTGTATCCCTGTCAGAGGTTGAGTAGTATATACTGGTGTCCGGTGACATTGGTTGGCACCTGCTTGGTCCAACGTCACGTCAACGTTATAAGAGAATGAAGCAGAATCAAATATTCCATAATGGTTTAAGTGGTATCAGCGTCACCCTTAGATACCGCAGTTGTCAATCCATGCTGGAGTGTTTGGCAAACTTGATGACTATTTACCATCTCCTTATAGTCACAAATGTCTCCATCATGTGGAAATGCTAATACCTTTGAACTGATCTAACTGGTCCATGCTAAGTCTAATATTTGTGAATGCTAAAACGTGTAACAAAAAGCATCCGACAAAATCATATCGGATGCTTCATTCGGAGAATGCTGAAGAATATCATCGTGTCCACATCGAAAGTTAACTAGAAGGCTGGACTGATGCGGATTCTACACACATATCTATCTGAAGCTAACATCCTTGGACAATGAAGTAGAAATAAAGTTTCATAGAGTTGCCTTCCTTTACTGCCTGGCGATTTCAAAATCACATCCTGGCGAAGATCGGAACATCTTTGTAGCAATCATGACTACACGATTCATTATGTGGACGGGCATAGTAAACAATGTATTAATGATACAGTTGCATCTAATCCTCTCAAGGGTAATGCGCGTGTATTGTTATGCACAAGTGACCTTTGATTATTTCTAATGGCAGATGGTAGGCAGTATATTGACATCAACACGATGGCGAACATTTCATAGGCTTGTCCTCTTGAACATCAGTGTGTATAGTTATCGTTTTGCCAGTAAGTGCACCTTGCCCAACAGCCAACACGGTTTGTAGTCAAAGTAAAGAAAGCCTCGAAGGGTGGGGCACCTTTAAGATGATGGTCCTGAACCAAAATGACTAGATTAAGTAGGACCAAGGAAACAAAAAATGAAAAATAATATAAAAGGTATGGACGGAGGCATGGGAATGGTGTGTGTGGAACGTTGGATGGAAGAAAAACAAAAATCTACTGGCCCATTATCCTAGAGATTCCTCCGCTTCCCTAAGAAATGACACAGGCTCGTGACTTTTGAGCTCCCCTTGCTTTCGCCACAAACCTTGCTACCTGCAGAGCAGTGCCTATGGTAGTCTTAGCTTGAAACACATCCCCATTTGCAGCTCCTCTGCCGTTAGATGCTTTGTGTAGTTGACGACTTGGCAGTGATTTGATTAATTCCTGACTGCTTTCCTCCCCTGGGTCTGCCAGTGTCAATACAGTCAGACTCCCATCCACAGCACTGATCACAAGACTTGAACCCATCTCATCCCCAACCATACACCTAACATCAGCAGAAGCTTTAAAATTGGCCACCATCTTGCAGTCTGACACACGGAACACTCTGATTGTTCTTCGTCCTGAATGGTAATAGACTACATGTTTGTCATTCTTTGTGAACATGACCTTAATTGAAAACACCCCCTCTGCTACTTTAGGGATCATCGTTTTCACGGTCTTTCCTGTCCGCACTTCAATAAGCTGTAAACCACCTCGGAGAGGAGCATACAAACCGATCTTCCCGTTCTGAGTAGCACATCCGTTCCATCCCTTCACAGATCGCACCAGAGTCTTCTTCTTCAAATCCAGAATATTCCCTTTGTCGGGATCAATCACCGCTATCTGGTTCTGATCATGGGGCATTGCCACTAGGTGGGAGTATTCAACGTAATTATTATACTTCAGCTGCAGGTTGTACAGATGTGTTCCAGTTTTAGCATGGTAAGCACCGATCACATCCCCACTTTTGTCACTGGCTGGAACTGCTAGAAACAGTCCTTCTTTCGTCAGGACAGGCTGTCTGTACTTTTTGACATTGTATTCAAATTTGTACACATCCTCCACCTCTGGAATTGAGAAACAAGAGCAAACTCCTTTTCCAACTGCGGATTTGGCAACTGCAATGACTCTTGTGTCTTCCTCGTTGAGTTGTACCATCTGAACATCTCCCAACTGAATTGTCTTGAAAGCCTTTTCCTTTTCAACATCCCAGAACACAAGGCTTCCTGATTCAGCTGAAATGATGTAGGCGCCATCATCGGTACACACTGCATGAGTAACTATAGCACTTCTTGAATTGCTGGCAAAAGCCTTTACCAGCCGACCAGTCTCAGTGTTCCACACAGCAACCAGATTCCGTGTAGTCGTGACACAGATCCCAGCCTTGGGACACAGATGTATTGTTTCAATGGGTTTCTCAAGTCGGTCAATGGTATGAACCTCTTCCAGGATCTTATCGAAGTTCCATACCTTAATGGTTTTATCCATTGAAGATGATATGACAACATTGCACCCAACATGAACAGCCGTCAAGGCGATGATTCGACCAAAATGACCATCCAGGGTTTTCACCAGATTACCCTGTTTCACATCCCATACATAAAGGTTTTTCCGTACTCCAGCAACAACAAACTGGTTCCCTTGGTGAACACGACCATGCTTGTGAGCTGGTTCTTGGCTGGAATGTTTCTTGTTGCTGGGGGCAGTTTGAGTTCTCGGACCTTGTCGGTTTTAAGATCCCATAGCTTATATCCAAGAGCTGATGTTGCTATCAAGTAGTTTTCTTCTTCTGTGAGGGTCAAGGCAAACACCTGGTCTGTGTTGTCTCCAAGCGTCCTGTCATACTTCCAAACACTTTCCTCACGCTTGTACACAGCAACAGCGTTGTCGCTGATCTCGATGCAAGCATAAAGGGTCTTCTTGTCCGCAGTTATGGCTATTGCACTGTGAAACTCAAACGGATCAATGGACCTATCCTGAACCTCCAGCGCCATGTCATTGTCATCTTCTGTTCCACTTTTAAGGATCAAATAGTTCTTCTCATCCTCGGCAAATATAACCTTAAGAAGCCTCATCTTCAACTCAGACTCAAACCGTCCGACAGGTTTTCCTTCAATGGTGTAGAGATGCCACTGGCTCTGAATCCAAATTGCAATGTGAGTATTTGACACGGTAGTGCCATCAACAGTTTGTGAGTTGTCCCCAGTGACTGGCGTGATGACGGAGAACTCTCCAGTCTTGATGGAACATACAACCACTTGGTTATTGTTCGTATGGCTGACTGCGTACTTGTCACTCGGGGATATAGATATTGAGGACATGATCCCAGAAACACCAACAGCGATGTTCCGAAACACGACTCCAGTCGACAGGTCCCAGATGATGATCTTGTTGGAAGCAGTGACGAGGTACTTAGCATCTGAAGTGACGGCTATTCCATAAGGTGCAAAGGCGTGCCCTTCCAGTGAGTATTGTAACGGGCCACTTGGCGTGTGGAGACAGTGAAATGCAGGGACCAGGGCGCAGTTTGGGAGACCGTCAGTGTCACATTGCTCAATCAGACTTCTGATCTTGGGGTTATGTGCGTAGTAAGGGAGCAGTCTCCCTGTAATCTGAGGCCCCAGCATGCTTGGGTAGTGGTTCAGGATGGAGCTAGACAGTCGTATGGCGTCGGCGATGAGTTTGACGTCTTTGTCGTACACATGCTCCAGAAGATCCTCGAAGTCGGCCAGAACGCTCTGAAGTGGCATGGAGCTCAGTTTGGCATGGAGCCAGTTGTAGTTGAACAGAACAGTCTCGTACAGATCATCATATCTGCAAACATAGTGCAAACATACATAAGGTTACAAGGTCAGTACTAACCTTGTCTTCTGTGTTTTCAAGTCATATAAAATAGCTATAGTGCTACACTGGGATCATTAAAATCATATCTGTTATATTCACATAATGTCACTGTCAGCGTTAATATGCAACGATTACAATTTGTAGCCTAGCGATTGAGGCGTTCGTTCGTCGTGACTAAGGCCCAGATTTGATTTCCCATATGGATACAATTGTGCCCCATGCCATGATATTGTGGCATATTGCTCAAAGCGGGGTAAAACCCAACTTACTACAATTTGTTTTCATTTGAAAATGGCCTAAACACCAACATAGACCAACACCAACACCAATTAGACATAGATACATAAAACGTATTGTACACCAAAACATGCATGTGTAAATTATGAGGATGTCGGGTGTTGTACTGGTGGTTTTCAGTCACAGGATATATTTCAGTTACCTGTGGAGTTGGTACCCCACAACCAATGATTGTCTCAAAAGGAGATTAGACGGAAGAGTTAGTCAAACTAGGTGTTATCGTACCCAGTCGATATTTTACGTTCCTCATAATACCAGTCACCTGTTTATCTGATCGAGGTTGTGTTACAGCTGGAACAGAGTGGCGCTGAACAAGGTTTGAAGAGATACCCGAAGCGTCAGTAAAATACCCAAACCCGCCCGCTATGTTGGCACAATACCTACATCGTTCACAAATTCAGCTGATTCCTTACTATGGTAGGTGTGTGAATGTGCTAACAGGTGTGTGAATGTGCTAACAGGTGTGTGAATGTGCTAACAGGTGTGTGAATGTACTAACATGTGTGAGTGTGCTAACAGGTGTGTGAATGTACTAACAGGTGTGCGAGTGTGCTAACAGGTGTGTGAATGTGCTAACAGGTGTGTGAATGTGCTAACAGGTGTGTGAATGTACAAACAGGTGTGTGAATGTGCTAACAGGTGTGTGAATGTACTAACAGGTGTGTGAATGTGCTAACAGGAGTGTGAATGTGCTAACAGGTGTGTATTTTTTTCCGCTAGGTGTGAATGTGATATTATGCATTGCATTATGCGTATACAACGATCGACTGGTACACACCCTCCTTGAGCATATTCTATCATAATGATTTGTTTTATGTTTTGGGGGGGTTTTGTAACTTGACTGATTGTGTGGATCCGTGAAGACTTGTTCATGCCTCCGACCATTTATTTGGTGCCTTTGTACAGATGAATATTGCTAAGCACGGCGTAAAACAACGTTCACTCACTAGTTTCCTTCTGACAACTTACCTGTGAGACCTGATCAGATGGAAAGGCAGCTCATTAAGTTTTCTAAGATTATATCTTGTCACCTGCCCCTCCTTGTTGTAGAACACAAGTGGCTGCACCGGGACCTTCCTGTCGCTCTCGCCTTTAGTTTCATCCAGGAAGAACCTCTGTCTTTGCAACTCGGAGTATTCGTAAGGCTTCGGTCGCCCCCCTCCCCACGTCCCCAGGAAATAGTCAGCCATCTCAGAATGCATTGCACTTACAAAGTTGAGGTTCTTGAAATACCTCTCCCTGGCAGCGTCGATGAACTGGCGATGGTACCAAAATACAACATTGACACCATCGGCCTCCCGTTCACTGAGATAGCCGGGTAGGTCGCCTCTGATGCGGGTCCAGAGTAGAGGTGGGATGCGTCGTACTGGAGGCAGATGGTACTGGTAAACGTCGTTCAGGACTTTGTCGTCCAGGGACAACATGTCCTCCAGTTCCGCTTCAGAGAGTCCACTCTTGGAGGCTGTGATGTACCCCAGAGCATGGGACACGAGGGTCTTTCCGTGCTGGTTCTCAATCTTCTCGTAGAGCTTCATGATGCTTTCGTGAATAGAACTACAGAGATTTGTGAGCTTCGGACTAGTGTAGCTCTTCCAGCGGCAGATCTCATCAAACACAAGCTTTACAAACAGAGGTAGATTGCACTTTGTGATTGCTTCATTTACGATACCCCACTGACTCTCTGTGACGGTTCTGTTGATGGTTTTCAACCAAGCCTTCAGGATGGTGCTGCTGAGGTTCTCACCCAGCGGCAGCACGGGCACAAAGTTGTCCTCGTCATCAATCATGATCTTCAGGGTGTCCAGGAGGTTGTAATAGTTAGGGAGCGTGGACACGATGATTTTGACATGTGGAGGGAGAAGTGCCGGCAGCCAAGTCAATGTGTGGGCGCCGTACGCCCCGGACAGCTGGTCCAGCGAGTCGAGGAACATCACTATAGGTTTGCTCTCTGGAGTCAGGGACAACAACTTCTTCAAGTGTTGACCAAGGGGAGCTAACTCTTCTGGTATTTCGTCCAGTGGCTCCCCTATGAGGTATGCCACCTGGTTACACAGGCTGCTCAGGAGGGGCATGATGGTGGAACTTCCGGGGGTCGTTCCCAGGAACCGCAGGATCATAATGGGGGACTTGTCTTCGGAGAACCAGCTCTTCACCTGTAACACAACTGAGAAATATACTGACGGACAAAAATAACGGAAAGGCTTCTGTGGAAACTACAACGTTTAAACGTGGATTCCCATCTTCTGCTCGTGCCAAAACGGGGAATCATGTCGTATTTCTAAGTATGATTTCATCTTTGACATTTGAGCTTCTGAGTTTCTCTTAGGAATCTATCTATATTTGATTTAAGTAATCTGTGATCAATATGTTTCCTATTTATTAGCATCATCTAAAAACGCGGTAGATGGACAGGTTTTTCCCTCTTTTAAGACTGAATAATCAATTGTGTAGTGGAAAACATCAAATTATTCACAATAAATCAGGACAATGCAAGAACAGGATGTTGATAGATCCCTTATGCCGCTGGAAATAAATAAGAAAAATAAATATCAACGTCTAAATTTAGTTGACTGTAATATCTTTTCCTGTGTACAAACACTCAGCAAGAACGTAATTCAATAAAGAGAATGTTACCATTGCTACCCTGCGGTGTAAAACAACTTCCTTATTTTAAAATTTATTACAAGAAAGACGCATCCATGCTAAAAATAGTCTACACGGCTTCAAGCTCCAAGGCAATGGCCTTTAGATATTCGAGCTTGGATCAGACAGGCCGGTGGTTAATATAATGACTTTCGAGCCAAGAATGATGTCACACATTCAAACAACTCAATGACACCAAAATGCATCTCTATATGTGTCATCGTAAGCGTAAACTGATGCTCATGCTGTCAGTTGATTGTCTGGTCCAAACTAAATTATTTACAGACTGCCGCCATATAGCATAGATATTGCTGAGTGCGGCGTTAAACAACAGACCGTCCGACCGACAACTGACACCAAAACGAATCCCTATACGTGTCATCGTTTGCGTAGACTGATGATCATGACGTCAGTCACTGGATTGTCTGGTGATGGCAGTCACTGGATTGTCTGGTCCAAATATCTACACCAGAAATTTCACTTTGTACCCGTGTGGGCGGACAGACTGCCTACCACTATGCCCCTCATATGGCTGAACAATGCTGAGTGCGACGTTAAACAGCATCCAAACAAACCGATATCACAGAGAATTAGAGGTCACTATATTCATCATTAGTGACATGGATCTCTACTCTTACTCGGACCTTACGAGTGACCGTGTCTTCAACACCCACCTGACTGGCCCCCTTCGCCATGAGGGAGGTCTTCCCACATCCCACTCTCCCCACACAGCACCAGGGGCATGTTGGACGGCCCGATGACGTACTGGTGGATCTTCTCAACGACTTCCTCCCGACCCCGGAACACGGTGCAGAACATCCGGCATGCGTGCATGTGCTCGAAAATAGAACAACTGGTTGTCAGGGAAAGCTGGGTACGGTTCCGACAAATATAGTTTGTTACTCTCGTCTTAAAACATGCTGGATTGACATGTTAAACGACTTCAACTGTGTTTTGGCCTCCTTTCTAAAAGATTATATATGTTTCTAACCAATACATAGCTTCCTCGATTTTTAGAGAATTTTAGTGACATGGCTCCTGACTTAAGTTAGTTACAACCAGTACAGAAGAACATTCACAGCAAATTTACATGAACACGTTCGTGGTCATTAAAGGAACTGAAAGGCAAAAGAATGTAAACACTAAAGTGCTGAAAATAGGATTTGACCAAATACTTACAAATGTTATCAAAACGTTAAAACTAACCTAAAAACCAATCGCTGAAAACTGCAGGTACAAGAGATCAAATGCATTACCGTCGGATAATAATTTTATTTTTGGTTTTATTCTTAGACACCATCAAACATGGGTGTTCCTGTGTCGCCGCACCCGTGAAGGTCAGGCTTAGAAATGGTCTTCAGCAACCAATGCTTATCATAAGAGGCCACCAACGGGATCGGGTGGTCAGGATCGCTGACTTGGATGACACATGTCATCGTATCCCAATTGCGTAGATCGATGCTCATGTTGTTGATCACTGGATTGTCTGGTCCAGACTCGATTATTTACAGACCGCTGTCATGAAGCTGAAATATTGTTGAGTGCGGCGTACAACTTAACTCACTCACTCACCCTTTGTTGGCGGTTGTTTACATGTGATAAGGAAAGAAGTGCTCCTGACAATACACCTACGACTGGAATGTCCTCCTGTTTATCTCACCTGTAAAGATTCAGTATAGATGACGTCACCAGCCAGCATCTCATGCTTGGACATGGCATTGTCCACGAGACGGATGATGTTCTCATAGAAATGGTCAATAAACTGTTCAAAGTAATCCTTGTGGGTTTCACTGTCGATGCCATCCTTCCCACTCCACTCCACCACAAAGCGGGCGATGTTGGACGCCGTTAGGACTTTGGGGATCTTCTCGTCCCGGAGGATCTTCAGGAACTTCTGGGCCTCACCGTCAACGTTGCGGGAGGCAAAGTCGACAAACTTGCCGGCGATCCGGAGGAGGGTGGTGTTGATGTTGGAGATGTCGCGGACGTATGCGAGGCAGTGTTCTTCTACATCTCTCGCCTTGAGGATGCCCCGCTCGATCTCTCTCTCGGTGACTGGAACAGGAGTAACCGATGTAAACACTGACAGTTCCACAAGATACCTGGCAGAAACTCCAGTTTCTGAATCAGCTGATGCGCTACGCCCTCTTTAGAAGATATTTTATGTATGCTTCAATAATTACGTGTTGGCACTACTGTTGCGTGAAGGCACTGATCGATAGCATGCACATGCAAGAAAGCACACACATACACAATTATGAGTACAATTCTACATAAACGCGTAACATTATTGAAAAACTATAATGTGATCTTCTTCACGAAGATGATAAAAGTATGTCATGGCGACACTGAAAACAACTGCCTCTTTATCTTTAATCTTCTTTCCGGGCTATAAATATGTTTGCTTATCAATACCAATTGTGTAATACATTTATACTTTTTTTGTGCATCATGTCACGCGTCTATGTCATGCTTTGTGTTGCTATAAGATATTATCGATACCTGTGTACATTGTTTCACGGCAAGGTGTGAGTTGAGTGTTAGGCTGATTTGAACATCATTTCAGATTTATCACTGTTTGTCAGTTTGACGTTGGCGGACACTTGAAGTGGTGCACGACTCAAGCTTTTACAATTTTACTGAATTCCCCGAACACGAAGATGTTGAGAAAATTGACAAAAAATCAAATTAAAGACGCGCCGGGGGTTCAAACGAATCGGATCTCGGATGGGTAAGGGAGGTAACTCTGTGCAACAATACTGATTGTGTGTGAGAGTTACCAGGACATGAAGTAGTTGTGCATCTGTTCCCGGTCAATCTTCTTAGTGATAAACAGCACCTGGGCCGCCTTCCTGATGATGCGTTGTAGCTTGCCGAACGTCTCCCACCACGTCGACTGGTCCTGCTCCTGCAGTCGGGGATGTCGCTACGCACACAAAACGTGGACGTTCATTAAGGCTAAGGTGTCCTGTATACAGGACACTGGGTGTCCCGTCGTCGGGGATGTCGCTACGCACACAAAATGTGGACGTTCATTAAGGCTAAGGTGTCCTGTATACAGGACACTGGGTGTCCTGACAGTTGTGTTGCGAGTGTCAGTGGCCTTACGGGTAGATCAATACTAATGTATGTGGGTCTTCTTGCAGATGCTCTAAATAATATTTGTTTGGATACTCACTGAGGCGAACGGGGAAAACGAGGAGTAACGGGAACTAGCGGAGAATAACGAGATCTGGGAGGGCTAAAGGGAACGATAACGAAGAATAACGGGACCTAGCGAAAACTATCGGAGTAAATGGTCTACCGAGGACGAGCAGAAACTATGAGGGAGACACTCGGGGACTGTCATGTTCCGACGGACATATCTGCTGTGACATTTAAGGAAATATGTAATAATCCATTTCATGAATACTGAAACATTCAAACTGATCCATATGGGAAGTGAAGTAACTCTTTGATCAACCAAAGTAATCCGCATGTTTGCGATTAATATTAGCGACATAAATGCGACATTACGGATGTCAACATGGAAGTGACTGGATACCTTGTTGTTGAAGTTTGTAAGGATGGAGCTGATTGGCTGAAGTATATACACAGGTGGCACGGAGTTCTCGTCCACCTTGTACCACGTGTCAAACAGTTCCAGCTCGCTCTGCACGTTCTTTGCCACCTCCCGCAGCATGAGAAACTCGCTCGCCGGTATGTGGGTCGGGAGGGGGCGGTATCCATACTTCTGGCCGAGAAACACCTACAGCAGAGAAATACACACAATGCATTATGTTGGTGACCTTAATACGTTGTACTAACGCTGCAAGTCCTTATCATGTACAGGTAAATAATCGAAACATTTTCATGAAAAATAAAAATGAATAAATAAATTTAAAAAATATAAAAATAATCGAATTTTTAGCTCGCTTGGATGACAGCATGATCATCGACCCAGGCAATCGCTCAGGTCACACCACCGAGAACTTCGATCCAGATACAACTGGCTCCCTCCTCCACGCAAAGCGACCGCCTTCGTGGTGTAGTGGTTAGAGCGTCCGCCCGGAGAGCGGAAGGTCGCTGGTTCGATCCCCGACCGCGTCATACAAAAGACGTTAAAATATGGTACTCCCTGCCTGGCGCTCGGCATTAATGCAACAAGGCTGGTACGAGTCAGTATAATGTTACATGGGGTATTCATGCTTCACTGCGGCATGGTATCACAGTGGGCTAGCACTATAAAACCAGCTTCAGTCTAGGCTAGTACAAGCACGTCTTATGAGCACGACGTTAAACCCAATTCCACCATTCCACTCCATGCAAGGCATACGGAAGTTTACAACATACTGCTGAGGCTTTTCATGGTGTGACACGTCATACTTTCATTTCCCATCAAGACGCGGTGTGTAGCCTAGTGGGTAAAGCGTTCGCTCGTCTCGCAGAAGACCCGGGTTCGATTCCCCACATGGGTACAATGTGTGAAGCCCGTTTCTGGTGTCCCCCGCCGTGATATTGCTGGAATATTGCTAATAGCGGCTTGCAATCACACTCACTCATTTCCTAACAAGTGCATATGCCAGATATCAAGCAGGTCATCAAAATTGACACTTTGGTGAACCCTGTGGACACCCATGGTTCCATCTCACATTGCCATTAACACTGCATCATGTTCTCCAGTGAGTTGTGATGCATCAAACAGTACTTCCATCCCCAAACGATGCTGAGTAACAATGTTTTCTCAGGCGCTTTTAGCAATATTCTATCACGTCGGAGGACACCAGAAATGTGCTTCCCACATTGTACCCATGTTCGGAATCAAACCAGGGTCTTTAGGCGTGACGGGTGAACGCTTCAACCACTAGGCTACCCCACCGCCCCTGTACCCGTGGCGTACTCCATTCAAACTGCCAATAACAATGAGTTAGATTCCCCCAACAATCAAATACCAATACTCCTCTATTCCAAAACTATGAATAACGCCAAAGCCGATGGAATGTTTTCCGCTTGTAAACCCGTGCACAGCCATCAGAACAGATGAACACACTGATGAACCGTGTCATGCCCCGGTCTTCGATCTGAACATCAGAAGTTACCTACACGGAGGCAGGTCCGGGAGACGGTAACGTGGACACACAAGTACACGTGTTACTGGACGTTGGGTCCGACTGTTGTGCTCCCTCAACCGGATGCCTAGGAATCTGCTACTATGTGATCACAATAAAGAAAACCTCCGAGTTCTTGAGTTTGAGAATCATGTTTAAAACAAACACGCAAACATCCAAATTGTGCGCCGTGCATGACCATGCTCGTGGAAATTGTAAATCACGAGCTGGAAGTGGAAGTTTTAAAAGATGCATGATTACATTTCTTAATATTTCTTATGAACTTTATATGAAGCAAGGCTTTTCCGCTACTACGTAAACAATACGTCAGCATGAACCACGGAAGGCTGTTGAGAGTGCGTCAATCTCAATACCAGAAGCTATTGACAATACGTCAGCATGAACCACGGAAGGCTGTTGATAGTACGTCAATCTCAATACCAGGAAGCTATTGACAATACGTCAGCATGAACCACGGAAGGCTGTTGAGAGTACGTCAATCTCAATACCAGGAAGCTATTGACAATACGTCAGCATGAACCACGGAAGGCTGTTGAGAGTACGTCAACCTCAATACCAGGAAGCTATTGACAATACGTCAGCATGAACCACGGAAGGCTGTTGAGAGTACGTCAATCTCAATACCAGGAAGCTATTGACAATACGTCAGCATGAACCACGGAAGGCTGTTGAGAGTACGTCAACCTCAATACCAGGAAGCTATTGACAATACGTCAGCATGAACCACGGAAGGCTGTTGAGAGTACGTCAACCTCAATACCAGGAAGCTATTGACAATACGTCAGCATGAACCACGGAAGGCTGTTGAGAGTACGTCAATCTCAATACCAGGAAGCTATTGACAATACGTCAGCATGAACCACGGAAGGCTGTTGAGAGTACGTCAACCTCAATACCAGGAAGCTATTGACAATACGTCAGCATGAACCACGGAAGGCCGTTGAGAGTACGTCAACCTCAATACCAGGAAGCTATTGGCAATACGTCAGCATGAACAGCGATTGGTTGTTGACAGTACCAGGAAGCTATAGACAATATGTCTGCAAAGAAGCCGTCAGCGTGAGTACAGGAAGCATAAACGCTGCGACATTGTTGACAAGACGTCCGCTTCAACAATAGAAGGCTATTAACAATACGTCAACAGACTGGAGCATTACTGACAATACGTCAGCATAAAAGCCAGGTCATTGTTGACAATACGTCCGCTTCAACAATAGGAGGCTATTAACAATACGTCAACAGACCGGAGCATTAATGACAATACGTCAGCATAAAAGCCAGGTCATTGTTGACAATACGTCAGGTTAAACAATAGGATGTTATGGACAATACGTTGATGTTGATGTTACTGACTGCTAGTCCCTTGTACATCAATATCGACACGACATTTTCTATTGGTTGTCACCGAAGCCAGGACGAGAAGCCGACGTGAAGCTCTGAAAATGTCTTCGTGACAAACGGCCATCCATTCTGCCGGTCACAGATGCCACGGGTTGAGCTGTCATAGTGTCATTTTCATGTGCGTTCCGGACCTACGCACCGCACCGGTCTTGTAATAAAACAATAGTTTCCCGGGGGGATATGGCACAGAAAAGATAAAAAGTCCACAGTGATCGTGGATTCTCGGATTCAACGAGACAAGCGACCAGCTGGAACATGTATCCACCAGCTGGTTTCCTAGTCAGACATGTCCAATGTAACCTATGCAAGTTGATGGTAGTCAGGATCTTTGACTATGGCGTATCACCGTATCTCTGTTTAGGCAGATCGATGTTCGTGTTATCAATTACTGGATTGTCAGCACCATGATGCCGTCATTTGGGTGGACAACAGCCAGGTGTAGCATTAAACAATATTAATTTCATATGTAACTGATATCACCACAAAACAAAATTATTTCAAACAATAACCAGCTTGTACCGTTCCAAACAATGCGGGCAATACACCACAAAAACAGTCATATTTGCCCACCACAATAAAACACAAATTTGACACTCGCACAATTAACTCTGAACAAGACAAGTCTTCTCATATTTAGAGGTCCCCATTAGTATCCAACTCTGTTGAATCAATAACGTTAAAACAAGTATTCATTTCTGTAGGACTGTTTTAAGAGACTTTATCAAATGCAGTTAATTGCCTCGCGGGAGACGGCGATTTGATTCACAAATGATCGACCAACACTCTCCCACCCCCCACAGATGCATCTAAGCATCTGTGTTTTTGTTATTGCGGTCGACCAGTTCCTTCCCGGTCTTGCTCCAGTGACTCCAGCCATGTTCTGTAAGACAACCATTCACGGCTCCTTACCCTTACTCTGAAGTCTAGGTGAACTTACTTAATAAAGTTGCTGAGCGTTTGATCACGTTTCGCTTAAGCCAATTTCGTTGTTCATAATAACTAATTGCTTATTGATTTCCTTATAAGGGCAGTGACAGAGCTGAACGAAATAAGCATAAGCTAATTACATGTTTTGTCCCCGACTTGTGACTCTGGGTACAATTAGGATAATATGCAGCTCATTAACGGAGCCGCCAGGGTACACTCTCGAGGTACAATGAACTTCCGTGATCCTGAAAGCTTTATATTGTTTGTTCACTCTGTGTGGAATTTTGACATGCTTGTGTAGATCAATATTCACCGATAGTTCGGGATCGCTTGTCCTGGCATGTGGTTTAGAGTTTCTTTTTAATGTTTCGTCCCTCGTGGCAATCCGGCGCCACTGTTTATAAACTAAACTGGTTCCTGTTTTGAACCTGGTTATTTGAGACACTGTGCTAAGGGACAGATCGTTCCATGCATGTGACGTTAACCTCTAAGTTCTTTTACTTTTTCCTGGAGTAATACAGCTAACATGACGTCATTGACGCACAAAAATGTAAAACGATCTTGGAATGTTGTGAATCTCATCTATCTTATTGTACACTAAGCACGTTCTGACAGGGATAGTCCGATAGGTCGTTGTGCTTACATACTTGCTTGACATGTCACCAGAATCAGTTTTGGGTATCTTGGAAGGACAATCCTACCAAAGGTATCTAGTGTAGCTAAGGTACGTTCTTGTGGCACTGTGACAGTTCTATAACCATCTGCATGGTTCCATTCTGGCCACGTTCCTTAAGTGGCAATATAAAACATCCCCATCAAAAGTACAGGAATATATCTTCTGACCACCGCGATAGGTTCCTTAAGTGACGATGTGTTAGCAAAGTGGTTACAGCGTTGGGCAGAAGACTAAGGTTCAAATCTTCACATGGAACAAGGTACCCATTCTTTTTGCCCCCGTCCATGTGGATGCTGTACAAGAGGGGTGCTCCATAATGCCTGGCCAGTGTTCAAATAAAGGCTTTAGATTAACTGCTACATTAATACACATCATAATCTATGTCTGGAAGACAATTTGCGAAGACTACCAATTGTTATACGTTAGTGTAAATTATTGCCAAACAATGTGGCAGTTGTTTGTTTTTTGTTAACATTAAGTAGAAATTCACACCACTGTGTTCTAACAATAATTAGTTTTCAGGAGCGTATTATTATATAATGTCAGCTGCGTGAATGTTTCTGTAGCCCAATGGTCGGGATCAAGAGTAACCTGGAAACTTCTAAAACAGCTATATTCTAATCCAACAGACATGAAACTAGAGGGTGTGAAGACTATATAAGTGGATAGGTGCATGTTCCTTCGCTTACAACAAGTCCTGCGGTTGTATTACGACCGTTATTTCACCCTGAGTATCAAGTTTAGGCCTTTGTTCAACTTGACCATCGCGTACTGGATTTCTAATTAATAATGTGTGTTGTTGACTCCTCATGCCTTGTTAATCCTATTTATTCTTACATATACATCAAACGGACTCTAATCTTCAACTTCATCTGATGTGTAAACACCAATCTATCATCATTTATACTTGTACAGACATCAATTATCCTCATGTCAGTAACCTTCCTAATTCATATTTCTGTACATCATACACTTGATAACCGCCATTGTATCTACCCTGAAAAGTCGCATTCATTGTAATAAAGAAGTGGTATATCAATGGAATTATCTCCCCTGTCGATATTAAACCATTACTCATGCTACTGTATTATGTACTGCCGTTGAATGTAATGCCACTGTGTAGTGTACTGTCGTTGAATCTACTTCACAGTAATGCGTATTGATTTGTGAATCTAGTTAATTATATAATAGATTTGTTAACATATAATATTTATTTATAATTTATTGGTTTCACATTTTTAACGTACTGTTTCAGGGTTAAAGTGCTGTTTCCTACTGGAAGACGACAAGTGACACAATTAGCCCGAGACTGCATAATTTATGTGATATTTGGGATAACATTCTTTCAGTAAAATACACATTGTAGCACTTGTATTAGGTTGAGTCCGATCTGAGGTTCGCAAATAGACTCTCATAGTCAAACGCCTAATCGACAGCACACAACATCAGTGATCTAACCCACTTAGCCACCGATAGTGGAAGCCGATTAGATGTCTGACGCAGTTACCTAAATTTATATTAAATTTTACCCCTTCCTAAATGGCATTGTGTATTTATAACCTCAGACTAGTCTCCGTCGAGAATCGCATTTCTCACCACAAAATTGGGGCCCATGGACAGTCTCTGACAGTTGTCGATTTCCTGCATACACAGCTCAGTGGTCATGTGGTCATCCGTAGCCTCGTCACGGACACCCCATCTCATGTCCACCACCTGCAACACAAAACACATCCGGTTACTGACATAGATACATAGCATCGACGTGAGTCAGGCGATCACCAGACTCGATCATCCGGCTAAACAGATTCTGTTTTGAAATTGACACGACGGATTACTGAAAACAAGGAATGACACCAGGTGTTCTTTAAACCGGAAGGTAGATGTCCCTTGAATTGCATACATCAGCTTCACCAGGAGGAACTGCGCATGCCCGAATTAATATGGTTCTGTCCATTTCCAGTTGGGAACACAAGTGGTTCAGTTGTTTAATGTACAGCAATTAAATGATAAGATTTGCCCCCCTTAACATCCTAGATTCGCTGATCGAGAAACCGATAATGATCTCAAGTTTGGTAGGTCCAGTCTCATGCGTGTGGGTTTCAACGCATCGCGGATTTTAAAAGCGTACTGTTCAAAGGTCATCGCCGCCATTTCTTTTCGAAGTCCTCACACACAAAAATACCTCTACATCGATAACGAGTAGGACAGCGCAAAACATTCGTATGTGTTAAAACTCTATCTAAAGATACTGGTTCTGTGGTAGACATGTGAAGGAATTTCCATATGTGATCATATGGATGCAATTCGGTAATTTGACCTCCTATGTTCCCGTGTTTGTTACAAGTCAACACTTGACTTGCCTTTCCGTGTGTTTATGATAGGGACAACTGGAGGAACGGATTACGCTAACACATTTAGCAGGAACCAGTTATCATCTCTGGTTTATAGTTATCCACGTACAAATGTTACCGATATCGTCGGAATACTCATAGAAAGTTTCTTATGATTATGGATTAGGTTTTGTTGCATTGGTCATAAGGCAAAGAAAAGGCCGCAACTATGAGAATGCTTCCAATAAACTAATAACATTTTTAATAATTTCTGTATCTGTTTAAATTCGGCTATTCACGAACACAATAATATTTGTTTGCTGACGTTATGGTCGAAAACTACCCCGAATAGCAACCAGATAAATACCCAACATTCTGGGCATACCAATACCTTGGTGTTTGTGAACGACATTAAGTCCAAAGTATTCCGACAAGTGAAACTAGATCTATATAAGTATACTATGCTTAACTGCCGAAGATCACCTGTAACACGTCCGTGGATTTAGATTTAACCACCAGCAAAACACCGACATTGGGTGACGGCTGGCACACTCACCGAGTGACTTGTGGGTTCCGGAGTAGACACTAATTGTGTGATAACGGGTTTGTGTCTTGTCAGTGGTCGCCAAAACAGGTGTTACTTGGAAATCACTTGGAATTAACTTGTAGTGACACACCCTAGATATGTAGTAGGTACAAGTAACCAAATAGTTCGACGTATTTCAAGTCAGTGTTGTTTTAGACCGTTTTAGCAAGATTCCTGTTGGGTGGGAACGCCAGAAATGAGCTTCCACACTGTAAATGGGGAATCGGAACGTGGTTTTCGTCATGACAATCAAATTCTTTAACCACCATGGTACCCCACTTCCCCATGTAATTCTGGAATAGTGAAGACGGGTGAATGAGCTTAACATTGTAACTACGTATTAACAGCTTATGAATAATCGAGTCTTGACGGGCACAACAGTGGTTGATAGACTGAGTACCCGGTACACAGTTTATTGTCAGGCAAGTATGTACAAGGTTATGTCTTGTCAGATGATTGTTCTTGTTATGTACGACCTGAAGAGGTTACTTGAATCAGGGGTTCAAAATTGTTTTAAAAAGCCACTTGCCACAGGGCAAGTGACTCTAAGAAAGAAACTTGTCCTGACTAATTTTCCACTTGCCCTGATTTTATGACATAATCATGGTGATGTAATTATGAAAGAAGAAATCAACATGTTATTTCATGTAAATGTTTACTGGACTATTTATTTAAAAGTTATAAATAGCAAAGAAAGATAACTCTATTTTATTATCATTGCGAAATTTAATAGCTACATTTTGAGCAGATATGAAATTAAATCCAAGTTTATTTGCAGTTTGAATCCATAAGTGGACATTTTCTTGTAGCCCCCGGACAAGTAAGATAACATTATTTGATTGCCCGAAATAAAAGCTGACTTGTCCCGGGCGTCGGGCGATGGGATATTTGAACCCCTGCTTGAATACATTTACCCCAAGTTTAAAATAATATTCAAAATATTATTACTTTTCTATTCATCACTGACAGAGTGGAAAAGATCGTAAATCGGGTTGTGTTTTTTTAATATTTATGCATGCATATCTGCTGGAAACGTCACAACAAGCTTGACATTACTTAGATAACCCGTTCGGCGTTACCACAGCGACGTCTTGCAATGTTGACACGTCACCTCAGTTAACCACATTGACATACAACTTATATTTGAATGAGTTAGCTGACACAAAACGTAACACTGTCAACCTTATCTGAAGACATCTGTGATGGACTGTCAGCGGACGTGTATTTTAGACATTGTTTATTCATGCAGTTTACACACTCGGATGAAAAATCTAGGAATAGCATGCCTAACAACAATTAAAGAATACAAGAAATTCTTACGCGAGAAACCGACAGGCCGAAACAATACACACAACCGCAACAAGAGAAGTTTCGATACAAACAATTTAATCTTTTAAACAAGATGGCTGGTTCGTCCAAACTGAAAGCTCTCGTCACGCGAACGAATGGAGATAAGAAACTACCCAGGTGCAATTCAAAGGGAGATAATTAGAACTATAATTGTCAAGTTAGTTATTCATTGGGAATTTCCGTTTATCAAAGCGTTCTTGACAAGTGCAATAAATGCAGGGTTTACAGAGTGTTTGCTGGGTGCATGTCGACGTGTGAGATGTATGTGAGTACGAGAGGTCACGAGATTCGTGGAGATACTGTGGCTTCAGGAAAACTTGCCAGACTTTCCTGAAGGTTATGGACCTTGGCCCCTTTCTCGAAAGCTCTCGTAAGCCTAAAATCTCGTATCTTTTCTTGTAGCATTCGTACCTCCTATGTGTAACATAGGGGTACGAATGCTAGTTCGTACGAGATCTTACGAACGTTTTGAGAATAGCTAGCCTGTTACGTAAGTGATGCTGTGATTCTGTCGCCATTGACGACAACGATGTCGTATCGTGGATGTACACTTACGACTTTACAAAATCTGTTTGATTTACTTTGAACCCTTCTTTATGGGTTATTAATGTTGGATGCCGGTGTATGTCATTTCAAGACTTGAATCGCTGGAGAAGTGGGAAGGGGAGGCCATCGTGCCGAGATTCGCTGTGCGTTCAAATTGATTCCAGTTTTCTGATTCGTGTTTCACATCTCAGACTTTCCTGTCCACACAACCAAACAACACCCGTGTAGGTACTTAGTGCTAAGTACAGAGTACTAAATACCCAGCGAATTAGTATGGAGGTGAGGTGAGATGAAAGTGGGTTTTACGTCGTGCTTGAGAATATTTCGCTCATATGACGACGCGCATGCGTGTGTATGTGTATGTGTAGGTGCGGCTGCTTGTACTAGCCCAGACTTAGGCTGGTTTTATAGTGCTAGCCCACTGAGATATCATGCCGCAGTGAAGCATGAATACCCAACTCAGAAACATTATACTGACTCCGAGCCGACCAGTCCTTGTTGTACCCATAAATGCCGAGCGCTAGGCAGGGACCAACAAGTACCATATTTTAACGTCTTTTGGTATGACGCGGTCGGGGATCGAACCCGCGATCTTCCGCTCTCCTAGTACGGAGGTAGGGTGTATGTACTATGTATGACTTGATCATTGAGTGTCATCTGTAACCCTGAGACAAGTTCATTATCCTCTCTGTAACCACACACCTACGTTACTATACATGTCCACCCCTTTGAGCACCGTTTTGAGACTGGTCTTCAATAAATTTGCATGTCATAATATCAATCACTTGATTGTCTGGTCCAGAAGCTATTGATTTTTACAGACATCTTGAATAGTATGTTGTCAAGCACAAAATAAAAAGAACAAGGGATATATGCGTATTTAGCAGGCTAAAACAGTCCACGAAATAAGGTTGATTAAGTAATGGAACCTTCCAGTATCCAGGAACCTTCAGGTTAGATATTTTCAGAGTTAAGAGTTGGATGAGGCAAAGAATGGGCGTGATTGTTTAATTAAACTGCCCATTAAAAGTTTAGACTGTACTTAAAGCACTCACTATATGTTTTGCATATATATGTGGTTACACCGAAGATGAATTTCTCCGCTTACTTGGGGGAACTAACAGCAAACTTTATGCAGATACATTGCACGAGGATCATGCATTACATTGCTGAAAAGCATGTGCAAATATCGTGCATGTGACAGCTGCGTTGTGTAAAAGTTTGTTAAGAATTCGCCAATTTTCACTCAGTTTCATCATTTATTGAACTCATGACAATCATCTTTTCAACATTACGAATTTGTCTTAAAATACATCAGTTCATGAGTAAATAGTACCTATAAACAGTATGGAATATTTTGCAAAATCTAGTTTAGAACAGTTGACTTAAGTAAGTGGCTACATTTACACTAGTGAGTCTAAACTTTGATGGGTAGCTCAGATACATTTGAACATTGTTTCGTGACCTTCATAATCCGGACACCACACATTCCGGACGAACACCACTGAGAAGAGCTTACACAGGGCGATAGTTCGCTGTATACACCATTCAATAATTCAGAAATTTAGCAATCTAGGCATTCGTTAATCGGGATGATTCTTACAGAACGCTCGGGTCCGGTTTGACAGGGCTCCACTGTGCACTGAGCGTATACACGGTAACGGAGCGTGTCCATTGTTTGACAAAGTTGTCTTAACAGAGTATAACGTACGAATTTTACAGCTGGAATATCGCACTGCGGAGTAAGACATCACTCACTCAACCAATTCTTCAAACACCCAACAAACCAACAACCATCACCCTATACCATTACGCATGCATCTGTAGGCACCTCCGACATTTTCCCCCGGTATATGATATATGTACATTTACACAACCAGTGCTTCGCAGGGGGCCGCCGT